TCGCGTACGACCCCCTAAGGGTTCCTGGTGCGAAAATCGCTAGCTCAGGAATCAAGAAATCTGGGGGGCTGTAATTTTCAGGAAATGTTCCCAACTAATCTACATCTTCAATTAATCAAACTCAGCCCCCCGTCATTCGTGGTTGCCACGTACGGCCCCGTGAAAATTTTTGGCGGGAAAATGAATAACTCCGGAACCAGGGGAGCTGGGAGGCTGAAACCTTCAGAAAATGTTCCCAACTCAACTACAACTTCAATTTATCAAATTCAGCCCCCCGTCGTGCATGGTTGTCACGCACGGCCCCGTGAAATTTTTTGGCGGGAAAATAAATAACTCCAGAACCAGAGAAGCTGGGAGGCTGATTTTCAGGAAATGTTCCCAACTCACCTACAACTTCAATTTATCAAATTCAGCCCCCTGCCTTGCGTGGTTGCCTCGTACGGCCCCGTGAAAGTTTTTGGCGGGAAAATGAATAGCTCCAGAACCAGTGAAGCTGGGAGGTTGAAATTTTCAGGAAATGTTCTCAACTCATCTACAACTTGAATTTATAAAATTCAGCCCCCCGTTATGCGTGGTGGCTACGCACGGCCCCGTTAAATTTTTTTGGCTGCAATTTGGGTAACTCGGGAACTGAGAAAGCTGGGACCCTGGGATTTCAAGGGAATGTTTCCTGTCCAACTATAGCATGGATAATTAAGTATAGCGTGGATAATTAAGTTCCCGAAATTCGAGGACCAGTAGGTACAAGAGGTTTCTAGCTAGCGGAATTTCGAGTAATCTTATTACAGCACGAAACACTGCAAAAACGCATAATCGCACGGAGCCCCCCAGTGCGCGTCGCCAGTGATTCTATTTTTAATTTCTCCAGACACTGATATTTTGGCACGTATGACATCATCCCAAATTTCCTGCTTTTAATGACATTTTGGACGAAAAAGCAGCTGTGCGGACGTATACGGTAGTCGGCCCTTATTTCCTTCAAAAACTCGGCTCCTACTGAATCTCGGCTCGGCCGCCATTGTGGAACGCCCTAACTTCTCTGCGAACGCTTGGGGCTTTGCCAAGATCGCTGGGTAGTGCTACCTAGGTAGCTGAATCGCGTGGTTGGGGGGTGCGGGATGAAAAGTTTGGACGTGTTTGGAGGTGGTGGCGAATGGTGCCGCGGAATTTGCTTGAGGTCTTTGAATTCGAGTCGTGGGCCGGTTGAGTTATGCGCGACCACTTGATGTTATGACGAAAAACGACACAAGTAATCGTAACAACAATGATCTCCACTGGGAGAAACTGATCGGACAAGCGGGTTGCGCTGGCCATCCACACTGGCCTGGCAAGATCCATTAAGAATCATGCCTCATTGATCACGAAAGCGTTACTCGCTCTTGTGACAAGTGGGCGTTCAAGTGCAGCTCCGGAGGCACGGGTTGGGGACAGGATAGAGGAGGAGAACAAGGGCGCTACTCATGACTCGAGGCAGGATTTGGAGACAATAGTAAAGAAGAGAGAAAACAGGGCAGTAAAAAAAAGTAAATTAGAGAAAACCTGAAATTATAAAAACGAAAAACGGAAAAAAAAAACGAAATCAAAGAATTAGAGCCTATGAATAAAAGCTAAAGAAAGCAAAGTAAATAAAAACTGAGAAAACAAAAACAAGAAACAAATAAAAAACTTAGCAAAAGCGAAAACTTATGAGTGGAAATTGTCTTATAAAGCATTCAATGACATGAATTTTCTGTGGTGATCACAGTGACGTCTGCGAAAATAAGCAGTGTTTTCGGTACAAAATCTTTCTTTTGCTTCAGTTTTAATTAAAACGTTTCCAAGTTGGAAGACACCAGGCTGGCCGGTGCGATCATGCGTTTTTGCACTATTTCGCGCTGTCGCAAGATCGCAAGGGATCACATCAGTTAGAATTTGTGATATACTGACCCCCGAAGTTCGAGACGTTAATTGTGCAGCTATGTGATGTGTCAGTTGCCGATGTCGGGTTCAGTGACCCGACAAACGAAAAATTGCTGGTGCGCGGAAAAGAAGGGTTGAATTTGAAATCTTTTAGTCCCACTGAGTAGGAAGCATTCCCTTCAAATTTCCTTGCCAGCTTTTCTCGCTCCCAAGTTAGCAATTTTTCGCCAAAACTTTCAAGTGTCTGCGTGAGTCCCGAGCGGTTCTAAGGAACTGAAATTGAAATCTTTTGGTCGTATGTGAATAGGGAACATTACCCTAAAGTTTCAGCTTTCTGCCTTTTTTCGTTCCCGAGTCAGCGATTTTCCCGCCAAAACTTTCACGCACTCACACGGGGGTCCAGACGCGCGTGAGGGTTGGTGCCGCAGTCCTGGAGGCAGTACTCGGCCGGGGAACCAACTAGCAAAATTTTGGTGCCGGAGCTTGCTTGGTTGCCGAGTTGAAATACCCGAACAGGCGAACACACACAAACATACACACACACAAGCATACACGCACGCACAAACACATACACACAGGGTCGCTGTAATATGTGTCTTTGTTGCTTGTTGCAGCACTTTAGCTTTGCACGACAAAAACGCATTAAAAATACTAGGTAATGTTCACTGTCTGGTAAACGTTGGATGAAATCCAGGACGAAACCTGTCTGTTAGTTTCGCGATCGTATGCAAGTGATACTTTGCCAAAGCTACCGGATCCAAGTCGCCTGATAATTTTAAATCGGCACTGCTGCTGTCTGCATTTACTAAGCAAACAGCATGATTGTTCCGAATCTGCAACGGCTTCTTTTTCTGTGAGCATTCAATAAAATAAAATGTGCTGGTAAAAAATCTTCGTCTTTTCTTATCCAGAATTTTTAAAGCGCATTTTTGTGTAATTATTCGAAATCTTTGGTAATCGTTTTCCTTTCCCTTATCTTTACTTCTCACATTCATCTTTATCATGTGTTATAGCTATTTTCCGTCACTTTGATATTTTAATCAGCTACATTTTATGGCATCGTTTTCCAGCTACACAATCTTAATAAGCTGGGAGACTGAAAACTTCAGGAAGACGTTTTCAGCTGCGCAGGAGCCTCACAAACTCAAATTTGTCTCCCAAAATATGATGTGGTCTCACGTACAGCCAAATGGAAGCTTTAAAGCGAAAGTTACTCGGAAACTAGAGGACCAGCAGGTTAAAATTATGGAACAAGGTCCACCGTCTAAAGTTTCAAATTTAGCTTACACATACTTTCACGTTTCACGTACCACTACGTGAAATTTCTAATAAGAGATTTCGCAGCTTAGGAACCATACTGCATATCGACTATTTTTGTACAGACTAAAGTGTAAAACAGTGAAAATCCTTAGTAGGCAAGCGTCCGCTGAACGAATCAGCGCATAATGCATGGTCGCACCGGCTACCATAATGCGCGCCACTACTTATTTCCAGTTGCTTTGGCGTTTCCTGTACTGTCTAATGGTCAACGAACTGGTCGTCTGAACGAATGTTTCCAAAAAGTTCATCAGCCCAACGGTTCTCAGGCAGAAGCACTGAATTTGATTTGCAACAGGGAAGATATGCATAGCACAGAAAGACCGGGCTGGAAGACGGAAGTGGTTGTGCAACGAAGCTCAAACAACTAAGCCACATCGCTTTCTTTTCTGTTTCTTCTATTCTGCTTATTTTTTCTTTTTTGTGTAATTCCCCTGCAAGACCTTTGTAAAGCTTTGTCATTAGTTCTACTAATATGTCCACCTCTTTCTAATTTCACTATTAATTTTGCATATTTAGCGCAATTTTCCGTTAATCAATTGAGCAAAAGCAATATGAATGACAAACACAAAACATGAGGATCATTTCGTTGCGACTGGAAATAGCAATAGTCGGATAAGCCGTAAAGAGCTCAAAAGAAAGTAGCGACTGCGAAAAAGGTCGTTCTGTTGCATGGAAGTGAAACGTGAAATGCCACTTTTCCAGAGGAAAAAGTCAGCGGTGACTTAGCGAGCTATGGGATGGTGCATAACTGATGTTAGTAAGTTGCAGATCTTTGTGATAAAGTACTAAGATTTAGGTTTAGTGTGAGTGACTTCATCAAAACAATATAAGGCCGGAAAAATAGCTGGCAATGTGCCAGGAATTAAAATCTAGAGATGGGCGAAGCGGGCTGTCAAATGATACTCACATAGTGATAAATGGCAATTGGGAAGTGGGCAGTACGGTGTAAGAATACACTATAATACCTCATGTGGGGCTACTAGAATAAAGTGGGGTCCTAAAGGAGGGATGTGACGATGAAACAAATAGCTGATCAAGGTGTCAAAAAAATACCAAACTTCCTACACCATCAGTGCCGAGCTTTAGACAATGTCCACCGAATTTCGAATGTAACTAAATCATAAAGATAGTAATAACATCTCGGTGAACTTGCTTGATTTGTTCTTTTACCTTCATGAAACCAGCTTACCATAAACACCATCGCCAGACGTACGTGCTCGTTCGGTGGTTGCTGGTGCGGCAAGCAGTGCCGTTAACACTGCATACAATGCTAACAATGCCTTGAGCCAGTGACTCTGCATTTGGTTATCTGTAAGAAAATTTGCTTGATAAAGTACCAGGACCGTTCGGATTATTAATATGGAAAGCCACTGCAGATTTCCCACGTTAATAATCGTACTGATATTTCTTCACGTGCCATGAGCAGCTATCCCAGATTGCTCCATCCTGTGCCGCATGCCTGCAGTTAGCACTTACCGCCCGTGGATCTATATATGCCATCTCTTGATAATAAAAATATAGGAATTGAAAATGGTTGCAGCTTAGATATGTAAAATTTGAAAACTCACAAATTCTCTGGACTCGCTTCGTCCATTAGCCAAAGCGTAAATTTTTTTCATAAGTAATTAACGAAAAGTGCTATAAGCTTTCTACTAGCGTTGTCAAATCTGTCTAAGCAAAATGGACAGAAGTTCCAGTTTCTCGAAAAACACGAAAAAAAAGCCTATTTTTTTATATATTGACCTATTTGCGTTTTAGTAGCGATAGCTACAAATTACACATTGACAGCCTTCAGTATTTTCAATAGCAAAATGCTGAATCTGCTGGAACGGACATTATGGGAAACGAGGGATTTTGCTTACGTCGAACGTAGCTAGGGAAGACTGTTCGTTCTTCAGTTACATTTCCGATCACTACTCACCGCTATTTCGGTGAGTGCTTTTCTCGCCACCTATTTGGAGGTCGCTCGAATGAATTTACTTTTACGAGCAAAAACCCAGACTGGAAAGCACCAAGCTTGCCAGTACGATCATGCGTTTTTGCAGCATACCGCAGGTCACTAATAGCAGGAACGATCCCTGCGCTGTAGCTTAACACTTGGGCTCATATTGGCCCTGCTTTGGCCTCTTCCGGCATGTAATAGAAAAGGCGTCGGTTGGGATGAAGGTAGTGCGTTATAGAGTCGCATGCAGCTCGATCGTTTTGCATGAAGCCCGGTAGTTTTTTCGGTAACTGCTCGCTTTTTGAAAAAATGAAAAATGCAAATTTTCAGCTCACTAAAGAGTGGGAATGTTACTGGAGCGGTCGTTCGTCAAAAAATCCATGTATGCAAATGAATTGAATGTTCATTTACATATTTAGATGAGGGCGGTGGTTTGTTGCAAAACGCACTCGTTTTTGA